TTAGTTGATAAATAATAAATAACAAATATTTATATTTTATTATTTAATAAATTAAAATTAATTTACATACTAATATTTTTTAAAATTATAATTAATTATATTAAAAAATAAAGGTTTGTGTGGGGGTCCAAAATTTTTTGGTCGCCTTTAACCACCCCAAGAGAGACTCTAAAGTTCAAACAGAGGTCTCTGTTAGGTTTTTAGTGGAGTGTTACCGGCTGAGACTAGCTTCGATAACACTTGTTTCGGAGGCGGAATCTAACTCGACCTCGTGCGGCACTTAGCTCGGAATTAATCTCGTAAACCCGAATTAAGTCAGCCTTTCTTAACTCTTGGCGTGGCCCTCTAACTGGGCTTGAGGTTGGCAACACGTGAACGAAGGTAGGAAGTTGGGAGAAGAAGAGGATTTATTAAGATTGCAAGGGAGTGTACAAGAGCATGAGTACAAAACCCCTCTCTGCACTCGCTCACCTAGCAGCTCACTCTCTATCTATCTCCTCTCTTCTATTAGGCCTCCCTATTTATAGAAGAGATCTGGCCCAAGTCCCTCTGCAAATGAGGTCTCTATAACACTCCACAAATTTCCCTCATATTTACAATTTTCAGAAGCTTCTCCACTCTCCCTCCTAGTCTAAGCCTACATTATTCTAGAACCTCCTATTCTAGAATTATGTACAAGGCCTTAGGAGTTTCTCATGTTGGGTTTGGCTCATTAAGCCCATATAGACCCCTGCTGGAACCATCTCTGTGCACCCAGCAGCTTCTAGAACTTTCTGGGCCGCTCCAACGCGCTCTAACATGTCTTGACCGCGACCCTGTGCCACGGCCTTGGCATGGACGCTGCCAACTCATGCCAGGCTCGCCTCTTGGGTGTTCCATGTCGTGCTCGCGCTCGTGTCTGTGCTCATGCTCGTGCTCGCCCTTGTGCGCCCGTGGGTGTCGTGGCTACCGCCCTGTGCCATGATGGCCTTGCCTTGGGCCCCCAAACTCACGCTCCATGATAAGAGGCTATTTCTCTATTTTTTAAGAAAATATATTTTATTTTATTTTTTTCTACTAATTGTAGTATGAATTTAAAAATTGAAATTAAATAAATTAATATTAATGTAGTTTTTTTAATACATTAATGTAAATTTTGAATCTCTTCTATTATAGATTATGCATTTTTTTCAAAAAGAATACTAAATCAATTTCAGCTCGAAGTGCTATGCACATTCAGAAGCACTCGTGGAGACAATTAATTTAAGGTTAAATATTTAATTTGGTCTCTAAATTATTATATAAAATTTTGATTTAGTCCTTAAATTAAAAAAATATTTGAGTTGGTCCTTAAATTATTGTACGAATCTTTAATTTGGTCCTTCCTATTTATCAATTTGTCTTAAGTTGATGCTTCTGTAAAAAAAAAATTGACATGTCCGTTACTTAATAGTGAAAAATAATAATTTAATAACGAAAAACAATAACTTAATAGTCACGTATCACATTAATAACAAAATATGTCGGTTGATTTTTGTATAAAAAGATCAACTTTGGGTAAATTGATAAACAGTAGAGATCAAATTGAGAGTTCATACAATATATTAGGGATCACAGTGAGGATTTAACCTTAATTTAACAATTAATTTTTTCAATATTTATTAAAAAATTATATTTTTAAATTGAAATTACATTTAGCATTTCAGTGGGACTCACTATT